ATGACCGTGTGAAAGTTTGCTGCTAGAAAACATGACCGTGTGAAAGTTTGCTGCTAGAAAACATGACCTTGTGAAAGTTTGCTGCTAGAAAACATGACCGTGTGAAAGTTTGCTGCTAGAAAACATGACTATGTGAAAGTTTGCTGCTTGAAAACATGACTGTGTGAAAGTTTGCTGCTTGAAAACGTGACTGTGTGAAAGTTTGCTGCTAGAAAATGTGACCGTGTGAAAGTTTGCTCTTAGGAAACTTGACATACAGAAAAACTGTTGTCGTGAAAGTTTGCTGTTAGAAATATCAGAAATTCTGTGGGATCACTTACTATGAGAAAATTAAAAAAAAAGTCTGTAAGAGGATTATCACATTACCATTATAGACAGGAAAGTGTGAGTGTACGATAACATAATAAATAGTTTGACATAGTGCATTTTTCTTGAACATTTATAATAATATTTGCAAGTTTCTCACAGCAGGATTAATTACAAAACTTAAGAAAATGTGTTATCTAAAACATACAATTATATACATCCCACTGTTAGTCTCAACTGCCATAGACTAGAGAGACTGTACTGTAACACATCTTGTAATATGATATAGATAATTTTATATACAATACTCAAGAATTACATTTTATTCATTAGAAAATATTTACAATATTAGGGATTTCTGTTGATACATTAAGTGTTAAAAATGTTACACGTTTGCTATTTTTTCTAAATACCAAGAGGAAATATCTTATTACTACCATTGTTAAAACAATATTAAACAGACTTATTATGAGAAAAGGAATATTTGAATAACGAGAAAGTCATCTTGGAATCATGAAGATAATGCTTACATTTAAAAACTGTAGCAATGGAACTCCTTCCAAAAGTGTTTCATATTCTCTCCTCTTTTTGAAGGCACCCTTCAGAACAATTTTTCTAAAAACTTGTCGATTCTGAGTTAACCAAATTCAATAGGAATTAGATTTTAATGAACTTTCTACACAAATAATTCTATACCATACAAGTATAAGTCTTAGGTGAGCTTTCAATATATTTTAAATTTCAGAGAAAAATTAGGTTAATTTTTATTGGAGTCAAATATTAAAAATATGAGTGTAGTATATAAATTTAAAAGAATGGAACTATTCATAAAAGATGGTAACAATCATATATCAACTTGACTTTCAGTTAGAGAGATTGGATCTTGAAGTTTATTTTTACTGATTTAATAACTTTCAGTCAACATGGAATTATTTTAAAAAATAACAAAACTTTACCACATGGTAGACAAGAAAATTTGTTTATGTATTATGAAAATATTACTACACAGCATATAACCAAAATAACAATTTATTATAATAAATTTAAAATGTTTTTCAGTCAGCATACCTTAATATAGATATACATTTCAACAGGAAAAGCCATTAACTGTTATTTACAAACAGCAAAAATGGAATAAAAACAAAAAATTCTAAAAATACAAGAGAAAATGGTCCTCACAGTTCAAAAACAGTAGAAAAATTTAAGATAGAATATACAATAACTTATTTGAGTAAAACAAGCTATTCACAGAAAACAAATATTAATCAACCCCTTATCATCCATGGAATGGTTTTTTTTCCCACTACCGTAGTGATGCTTTAACCATAACAAACGAGGCAAGAGGCACTTAAATGGTTCACGTGACATTTAGTGTATATATACGGGTGGAGATGATGACTAGCATGCATAAATATACAAGTGGAGATCATGAAGGGTTAATGGCAAAAATCCTTTCAGTATGATATGATTGTCAGTGAACAATAAAGGCCACAGTGTGAAAAACAGGATTTCAGCTTCACAAGTTGCTTGAAAAAACAGTAAACAAAGTATGCCACAATATTGTGATTTGAGTTATTGGGTATTAATCATACATTAAGAGTAAAAAAATTATTTTGGTGATAACAATAATGATTGAATATAAAAGTAGACTAATGAGATTTGTTTGTTACCACAGCACTGTGGATATTAATGTTGTGAATATTCAAAAAATATGACTCAATTTTTATAACAATTACAGAAAGTTGTTAGTGTTGCATACTTGAATAATATTAGTGGACTGAAATCTGAAGAGACAATTATGCAGTAGATACTAATATAAATGTACTCCAAAAATGAAAATGTTTCTATATATTCTATCTATATTGTTTAAAACATAACTTTGAGTTAGAGTTGTATACGAGATAAAATATTTGAAATCAATAAACAAATACTTTTATTAGTCATAGCTGCAATTGTTTATTTTATACTTTTCAAATTAATGAGAGTTGCTACAAAGAAATAGTATTGTAATACTTATCTGATGTAGTGGTGACTGTGTATTTAAATTATTGAAAACTAACTCCACAAACTTTAATGTGTGAAGGAAGTAATAAGGTTTCATAACTTTTGTGCCAGATTCTTATGTTTAGAACTAAAAACATTCTTGTAAATATGTATGTCTGAGACTATTTATGTTTATAATATAATGTATAAACTGGTAACATATTAATGAATGTACAAAGTAAAGGTATACCTTTAGAAATTTATGTAAATTCTTACTTTTATGTTTCAGTATGGAAAAACTATTTTGTTATAATGTCACATAAAAAGTTATAACAGAGGTTTTGCACTTGCAATAGAACAAGTTGTGGTGTAAAACCCAATGGTTCTAGAGGTTTAATAAACTAGGGTAGTTACTTCTTCCCCAAAGTAATTTCATTTTTTAAGCCATACTGGTACTGCCCTCTGCATAGTCCAATACTTCTATAAAACATGTGTTGTAAATGTTGCAAGTCTCTGAAGTGGAGTTATGTTATTCAGATAAACTGATGCCCACCACAAAGAAAAAACACCAAGAATTAGTAAACTACAAGTTAAGGAAATGTTATGTAGTGTAATATTCCATACAAGGAGAGCAAAGGAAATGTAAATAAACATGTATACAAATGAACAAAATATTTAATGATATAATACAATGTTTCTTTACTTAACTGGCTGTCTCCTTATTCACAGTAAGATTGTAAGAGCTAGAGTGAAGAGGAATTTCCTAAAACATCCACGCAGGACAAGATCAAGAATAATGAGATACCACACTTTCAAGTCAGAGTAGGGTATAGTTTGGTATCCTACAATCCTTAGATTACCAACATCAATGACCATTTCAAATAAACACATTCAAGGGAAAAAAATCCCCAACTCATACTAACTTGTACAAGTATCTGTATCACTCCTTAAGATAGGTTTACCTCAGCCCAGGGGGCAGGCACAGACAAAGACTTAAGCTGGTAAAAACTTCTAAGGTATAGATGTACTATGTAAAAGGATTTGTGTATGTTTATGATCTTTGTACAGCTGTTTTACTGGGGAGATACAAAGTTGCATGCAAATCTTGAAAAATTACTTTAATATATCCAAATTAAGACATATTATAAACTAGTTAGAAAAGGATAAAATACAATGACATCAATATATCATGCCCCAAAAGAAGATGTTATGTCACTGTACAAATTATCTTTCACCTTGCAAGTAAAATAAACCTGAAAATTTATATACTTTATTTAGGCTTTCTTTGTTCTAGATTAAAAAGAAGATGTTATGTCACTGTACAAATTATCTTTCACCTTGCAAGTAAAATAAACCTGAAAATTTATATACTTTATTTAGGCTTTCTTTGTTCTAGATTAAAAATTCCTAAAATATGATCACACAGATTTCATCCAATTGTGAACTATTTTTCATATCATCATAAGTTTTTTTAAATTTATATTGTGAATCTGTATGTATGCAGATATTGATCTAAGCTAATTAAAAATTGTATATTCTATTTCAGATGCTTAGATTCATCCAAGTCAACCATCTTCAAGTATAATTATTTTCATCATTTTTATACAGTTATCTAAACTATGAGAAATCCACTAAACTAGGACTGATCAAATCACATTGAAAATGTAAAATGTTACTTTAAAGGCATGGCACTCAGTGCAATTTCAGTTTGGAAATTTGAAACCTGAAGTTTTAATAAAAAGGGATAAGGTCATTCTAGCAACAAAACAGTTTTTGTTCCATGTATATTGAAAATGTGGCTTTGATTTAGTTGTTGAATGTAAGTTTTTACTACCTGCATGCAAAATTTAATTATACAGATATATTGCATCTTATGTATTAAAATCTGGCTGATGCCTATGCACTTACCCATGTACAAATGCATCACATCACAAATAAATACTTGTTTTAGAAAGAAATACACTGTTTTAAAACTAATCATGGTTCTATTTCGTAGTCACATATAATGAAAAAAAAAGCTACATGTAGTCCTACTTCTGTTTAAAAAAGAAAAAAGAGTTTGTATTGAATTTCAAGCAAAGTTACACGAGGGCTATCTGCATTAGCCGTCCCTAATTTAGCAGTAAAAGACTAGATGGAAGGTAGCTAGTCATCACCATCCACCGTCAACTTTTAGGCTACTATTTTACCAAGGAATAATGGGATTGACCATCAGATGATAACACCCCCACGGCTAAAACGGCGAGCATGTTTGGTGGGACGGGGGATTCAAACCTTCGGCCCTCAGATTGTGAGTCAAGTGTCCTAACCACCTGGCCATGCTGGGCCAAGAGTTTGTTGATCCACAAACATTTAGTATAAATTACCTGAGCAGGCACTATAATCAAATGCAAGAAAAAAACACATACCTACTGACTTGTAATAGTAACATCCACCACATGCTGTATTTTGATTAAGACCAGATTCTTGTACACTAAGATATGTACTTGACCTCTCATATCTTAAATTCAACAACAACAACAATAAAAAAACCACCTAACTTGGCCCTAATCCAACCAGAAGAGCCAGACAATATTTAAATGCATATTCATAACACTACTATGTCTAAAACCATACACTGCAATTTTAAATTGGAATAAATGTTTTCTTTAAGATATAGAAATCCCACAATCCACTAATTTCTCACGAATATTCTGAAACTTTACTGTTTATCCTAATAACTTATTAGTTATATTTACTGACCATTTTTTTCAAATTTTTCCTTTACGTATGAACTAAAAAAATATTCTAAAATAAAAACTTTGATTCACACTTGCAAATATTCAGTCATTCACAAAAATTACCATAGCCCAAAGGGATCCATCAGTTGCAGCCTTGATTGTAGCTGCTCGAGGCTGGTTGTACATCAAAGCCAGTTCACCAAAACTTCCAGTGTTATCATATTTGCCCACAAATTTTTCATGTTCTTGATCTGTGTTGACATGGATATTGTAAATTCCACTAATTAAAAAAAGAAGAAAATTATTAATATAATACACAAATATAATATTTGTAATATGAATTACAGACTGAAATAATCGTGAGTGTTCATAATGTATAGTTAGCACAAAAGAAAGAGAGAGTCTAACTACTGCTGAAATAATCATGTGTTCAAAGAGTCTAACTATTGTAGCTCCATCTTCAGAATAGCTACATTTTTTCTTTTTATCACTGTATATTGTTGAACTAAACCAGTCACAATCAATAACTCCTCCATGTGCTAGCATGAATTAATGTTGCCTGGGCCAAGGCTACTGCTATAAATTTAGCCAAATAGGCCAACTTACTTAGCCAGAGTTTATCCTTTCTTGTTAATATTTTTTTTTTGCTCATTTGTTATATATTTACTTTTATTATTTAGTAATATTTCAATGACTTTAAAGAATAAACGACGTGCTACTTATTAAAAATAGATATTTGGTTAAAAAAGCTGTACTCTACAATAGAATGAAAATATGGTGAATTAACTAAATACCTGAAACTTTTTTTGCAACAAAACAACTACCAAATATGCTGAGGAAAACCTAAAATGTATCTGAAGAAGTTTATGAGAAACCAAAAGAGTAAATAGCAAATTACACCAAGATGGTTCATTGTCATATTTAGAAGAATTAATTACATGTTTATGTTGTAGCATTAAAGGAATTTATTCTAACAGTATTCCATGTAGTATAGAAATATGTATATAAGATTGAATACAAGAATTTCATTCAGTGTGTTAGAACAAAGAAAATTATTTTACAGTTCCCTGCAAATTCATATCTTCAAACATCAAAGTTTAACATTATCAATACATGCAAGGAGGTACCACAAGGTGTGTTAATATCCCAAATGATAAAATTATAAATTAAACTAATTTTCATGTTTTGTGGTATAGAAGCTCACATTAGTAGTATAGAAAATTAGGCACTCTCTTAATTAAGAAGAGCCTAAACTTAGGTAACTAATCAACCATGTCTCTATATTGGTTTTCTACAGTTTATTAACGTTTTAAATGTTATCTTTACTGTAACAGACAAAGTAATTTTTGATAAAATAATGATATTTCCAAGATGTTATTAAATGTACAGTGTTCTTATGGTACTCAATGATTAACTTCTGAAAATAGATATAACTGTGTCAATTTTTGGAATGTTTCCAAGTGTGTAACACATGGTTTGTGGTATAGTTTTGTGATAGTGCACTGCCATGATGAGAAGGTCAGTGTTAAAGGCTGAAACTGTTGAGTGATGCTGAATTACTAGGCGAGTTAAGTTTGTTCCCTAGTGTTGTTAATTGGCGTGAGAGAGCAGAGACATCCAACAACTGTATCTGCAAAATGAAGCTGAAGAGTTTGACTCCGTTTTTTGTTAAATAGGATGCGACTTCCTCGGGGGCTGAATAAACAGACAGAGTTTGAATTTTCTTGCTTGGCATATATTCAGTCAGAATATTCTTTCATATTTGATATAGTTAGTTAGCTAAATTTTCTACCCAAAGAAAGCAGGCAGACATAGTGATTTCAATTCTTAGTAAGTATTTTTGTTTCTTAAATACTGTGAATAAACAATGTTTGTGTAACTAATGGGTGTGAATAATTTCTTCTTCCTAATTATCACAAACACTACAAATGCTGACAAACGATTTCAAATTAAAATAACACACTGAAAATGTAAATAAAGAAAACTGTATTTGTAAATACCCACTAAAAAATCAACAACAGAAACACACACAACATAATCCATGAATTTATCCTGTAATGTTTGTGTCAATAAAAATTTGATTTAAAGACAAAAGGTTATTGTTCTTTCACTAAATCCTCTAAATCTAACCTATTTCATCTAGTATTTAAAAAACAATACTATGATAGTAAGCTTAGCAAAAAAGATGTTTTATAAACCTTTAAACATCTTAATAAAACAACATATTTACATTTTTAAAAACTTAAGTAAAAATGGTCAATATTTCAATACATTTTTTTAAACATTTAATGGTTGTAACACTGAACTTTATCAAGTAGCTACTAGCTGACATTAAATGAAAGAAAAAGTGTAGATGTTCATATATACAAGAATCATTTTAAAGACATACATACCATGTGTACAAACAGAGGTTGTGCTTTTTATGTTTTGTCATTCACTTGGCAATGGCATAGTGTTTTCAAATACAGTATAGAACAAGCAGATTTTATTGGTACTTGGTATTGGATAGTGTGATTTTAATGAATGTTAGAAACGAAATAAAAACTAGGATATACTTGCCACACAGACGTAACTTTTGTTAAAAAGTGCCTTAATGGCATTTGCAACAGGGCTGATTATCTTTCAGCTCAGACGGTAAAGTACACATTTGACAATAAAGAGGTCCTAGCTAAGATCTTTCGCCATACAAGAAGAAAAATTGGCATCCAGCTAGTGGTAATCCTATAATCTTGAGTACATACCTTGTTTGTGATAAAAGAAGACTGTAGTAGTGTGAAAAGCAGTTAATTTCTGCTGGATCACTCCACATACAAGAACTGAAGTTGGAGACACTATAGTTAATTTTAAAACTGCCTCAGATAAATTGTGATTTTATATTTGACTGACAACTCCACTTCGGCACAAACCAACAGTAGTCTCAATAACATTTGAGTTATCTTCCGAAACTCAAAATCTCCCCCACTGATCAACATTGATCTGGTACATTTTTTGTCCATAGATTAAGCACTGGGTATGTGTTGTCAAAAGTTAGACTACTAGCAGCAGATAGTGGGTTAACCCTTTAGCTTAGTCCAATTGTCATACAACAAGTAGAGAAGATGCAAATGTTGGTTTACACACACATTTACTATAAGGTCAAAGGAGATGTTAAAAGTGAAACAACATTGTTACATTAACACTAGGATTAAACATATATAAACATTCCTCTAAAGTTTTACTATTACTGTATTTTATGTGTTTGTGTTACATATATAAAAAAATCATTCTGTTTTTAAAGGGATGATTACAAGAATGAGGAAAATAGTTTTTTACTTGAGGCATTATGGGAAATGTCCCAAGATAAACTTATAGATTTGAGCCTATAGCCTTGCAAATGTTAATATTAAGATCAAAGTTAGGGTTTCTTAAACATTAAGTTATTGTTCTATTAAGTCGTCAAGAAATTAATGTCCCTTTTTTAGATGGAAAAACCAGAACAACTTATATATCAAAAATAAAATATTTATTAAATGAAATAGCCTCCATTCTTATTGGTGATGCTTTTCCATCTTACAATCAGGATGTTAATGTCCTGATTAAATAAATCACTTGGCTTTGAAGCAAAAAACATGTCGTTGTCCAATTTAACACCTTCCACATTTGCATACGTTTTCCCATTAAGATGGTATTGCAGCAAATGAAAAAGATGGTAATCTGATGGTGCCATATCTGGAGAATATGGTGGGTGGGGAGAACTTCGCAACCCAACTCCATAATCTTGTGTTGCGTCAAACGTACAACATGTGGATATGCATTGTCACAGAGAAGAACACCTTTCTGATTGACAAGTGAAGGGCGTTTCTGATGAAGGGCTTGATTTAAATGTTTCAGTTGCTGACTATAGATCTCTGCATTGACAGTTTACTGTGGATTGAGGAGTTCGAAATGAATTACTCCTTTGATATCCCACCAAATGCAAAGCATCACTTTCTACCGATGGAGTCCAGGTTTTGGGGTCAGAAGTGGTTTGTCTAGCACTGAGCCATTGTTTTTGGTATTTAATATTCACACAGAGAATCCATTTTTCATCACTGGTGACAATTCTGTCCAAAAATGGTTCACGTGCATTATGCGCCAGAAGAGACGAAGCAACGTTCACATGTTGGAAACGATGATCATAGGAGAATTCATGAGGCACCCAAACACCTTCTTTATGGAGTTTTCCCATATTCCTTAGGTACTAACGTATTGTTTCATGAAAGACATGCAATTTCAGGGCCATTTTACGAGTGAGTTGCATTGAGTTAGACTCACCAAGCATATTCAGAGCATCAATATCAATTCCAACATGTTGGCCCCTGCCATCACAGTTTTTACAGCTAAAATCACCTGAACAAAATTTGCTGAACCATCATTGACACTTATGAACGTTCAAAACATTTCCATTAAACG